GCTGTTTTGCTGCAGCCTGATTCTTTTCAGTACAAAGAACCAGCGGACTGGTGTTTAGACCGAATCACAATTATAATCCATGAATTCCTCAGGAGCTGAGTTCAAATTGAAGGAGAATTTACTTCAATTTAATTATAATGACGTTTTGCTTACCTTCAGCTTTGACTCCATCCCGGTAGACTGGACAAAACTCTGCATCTGGGATGGATCCTTGATGAAGGAAATGACAAGATCCCAGGCTCTCTTCTGCCTTGGCGGAGTATATCCATCCCCAGTATGGCTAGGCAAATCTTGGGAGTTTCAGCTTTCCTTTGGGAAGAGGAGTGATGTCCAATCCTATAGTTTCATTAATCTGCATGCAGGAGAAAACAAGACGTGTTGAAATCTTTTTTGAAATGAGCCCAAGCTGCCCTAACAACACACGTGGTATTATTTAATGGCAGTATTAAAATACCAGAGAAGTGACAGCAACCTGTCAAGCAGCATTAGCTCTCCCAACTGGTGAGCTGGATAGTGGAGAGAAATTAGGTGTGTTCAGTAAGGTACCCTGAGTTTGGTGGATGCTTTTCCATGGTGACAGATGATTGCCGTGCTAAGCCAACACAACAAAATGGTTCTTTTGTAATAGAAATGAAGAAAGGTAGGTAGGTAAGTAGGTAAGTTGGCAGATAGGTGGGAAGGGAGGGAGGGAGTGACTGCCCAAGCTAATTGCAAAAAGGATTGCAAATTGGGGTATTTACTTACATACATGGTCTGTATAGAAATTTTAAGCTCACCTTGGGGAAAGAGAAGGTGTGTGTGAACTGTTAAGAGGGGAGGAAGGAAGGAATGTTAAAGGGGGACTTGCAGAAGAGATTAAACCGTCCTGAGAGAGAGGAGACCATGAGAAAGTAAAATAACCTCACCTTGATTTTGTTTAGTATACGGTGGGACAGAAAGAAACATGGACAGATTTTCAAGATTCTATTATTTCAACTTACTACAATAAAGAGCATTCCTGGAATCCCTGCCATGCCTGTTTCTTGGCTTGGCCTACCTTGAAAGGCTGAAATTGTCAGAAGAAATAGTAGTGTAGTTCCTTCCTTCCTTCCTTCCTTCCTTCCTTCCTTCCTTCCTTCCTTCCTTCCTTCCTTCCTTCCTTCCTTCCTCTTTATTTCTGTATCAAACAAAAATAATGAAAACTATTTTAATTATAGGTTTTCAACATTCCTTTTCATCCTCAGAATTTCCCACCTACTAATTTGCTGTTTAGAATATTTTTTCTGTTCCTTACAGAAACCTAACAAGCTGCTTTTTGGCTAACAAGCCAAAATACAGCCCACCATGTTTTTCCTCTGTAGAAACCTTTGAAAACTGCAGCTTTAATATGCATTGGGTAAAAATCCATATCCATAACAAGCACACTAAAATGCATTCAGATTTATGCAATTGTACTAGGTTTACATGCTTCTCCAATCATGTCTGGCTCCGGGCACCTTCCAGACCTCCAGAAGAGTAATAAAATTAAAAACTAAACAGAACAATGAAGCTCCACTACACTCTTCTAATGCTCCCATCCGTCCTTTTTAGATTCTACTTTTTATATCTTGATATCTATCTATCTATCTATCTATCTATCTATCTATCTATCTATCTATCTATACCATACACACACACACTTTAAATGTCTGTTATATACTATTCCCTTGTCACAATATTTAGCAAAAGTAACACCATTTTAGAATGGCTGGGGTAGAAGCACCATTTGAGCAAAGTGAGAGGATAATGTAGATGTACATTGTGGGGATGTAAGATAAAGAAGCAAGTAGTCAGCTGAAACATCCCTAAGCAAGTACCTATCTACTGTTATGTGCACGCTAAAAAAATACAAAGTAAAGGGGGTTACTTGGCAGAACCTGCTGATTTGCTGTGTTTGGGCTTTTCTAATAAAGAAAAACCTGATTCTCCACAAGTGTCGTCCAGCATCTTCTTTCCCAGCTTGGAACCGAACACAGGGAAGGGTTATTTTTCTTCCAACACCCTTTAGGTCCTCACTTTTTATGTCTTTTATACTTTCTCAATCTCATATATATCTTTTTACTTTATACACAAGTCTCTTATATACAACTATTTACCTACTATACGTGAGCGTATAATAGACATAATTTTACGACCTAATTACAACAGACCTTCTAAAGGTAATGCTCTTGATATGTTTCTACTTCTTATTCTCCAGCGAAAACTTTTCTTCTTTCTACACAAGATGGAGCTACCTTATTCAACCACTTGTAAATGTTAACTGCTATCCAATTTAAAAACACGTTTGAAAAAGATGCTCTGAGGCAGCGCTGACGCTTTCAAGTAAAATGGGCATTTCCCTCAGCTCAACCTGGGCGCCGCCCGCCGCCGGTCTCCACGGCAACGACCCAGGTGAGCGGGAAAAGGACCAAAAGCGGCTCGAGCGCTGCCGCGCATGCGCACATGAAACGGCGCCGGCCTCTACAGAAAAGCGGCGGGCAGCGTGCCAGTCACCCTAGATCTACAACCATTAGAGTGACCAGCTCTTTATCTGCAGCTTAAGAGCTGCATCTCCGAGAGGGAGCGAGCGAGCTTTCCCCAAGTCCATCGAAATTATGCACACGGGCGTGCAAGCTTCCGAGTTTTTCTCAGCCAGGCAAATATAGTTGTATTTTTCTCGTTAGCCGCTCAGAGCCTTCAGGAATGGACGACATACGAAATAAATACATGAATAAAAGTAAGAAGCTCCTACGACATCCTTGTTGTCCCTAATGCGAGATGGGTTGAAACGGAGACTGTCTTGCAAGACCCCTACAATAGAGTTCCCTAGTATTGCAACAAATACAATGTGGTTAAATTGCTCCACCCTTCATCCGTCCTGGAAAAGGTAGGTATGAAAGCCGGCTGGGTGGCTTTGGGTCAGACTCTCAACCCAAGAAAAAATAAATAAAAGAAAACTAATAAATAAAATAGGAGGAGGAAGGAGTATTAGGCATGTTCACCGCCCTGAGTTATTTATAAAAATAATAAAGGCGGGATTAAATAAATCTAAAAAAATAAGTTGCGCTGCTCATTCATTCCAATTACGACAAAAAGCAGAGCCAATCACGTCACGGATTTGGGGACGCTCTAGCCCGCCCCCTGCGGAGCTCTATGGCAACCCTCCCAACCTCTCTTCCCCCGGCACGTCTATGGCTTTTCCTTCCTCACTGCAACGCCGCCGTCCTCGCCGGCTCCCGGAAGTGCCCCTTCCCTCTCGCCGGAATCGGAAGTGGCGGAGGAAGCGGGGAAGCCGGCCTCTATTTAGGCCTGCCCTGGGCAGCCATCTTGGAGGGTCGTGGTAGCTGGAGTTGTGGAGCCGCGTCTGAAGGAGACAAGGCGCCACCGCCGCCGCCGGAGGGTTGAGAAGCTGACTCCGGCGCCCGCTCTCCTCCTTCCCCTTCCCCGCCCCGAGCAAGGGGACCCGAGCCCAGCAGGGAGAGGTGAGGACTCGGAGCGGGAGGCGCGCAGCGGGCCCTTTATTGTTCATTGCCGGACCCTGGCCCCCAGGTGTTGCCTCCAGCCGGGGTCAGCCTGAGCTGCCTTGGCAAGGCGTGGGCGCCCTCGCGGGGGCACCTCCTATCCTTACTCGCCGTCCTCCGGCGGGGGTTAGTTGATGGTTCGGAGTAGCGCCTGAGCCCAGGAAAGGGGATGAATCCAGGAACCGGGTTGGGCGTGTTGTGTGAGTGCGGGCGGGCGGGGCTCCGGCCCGCGGGAGCCGAACACGTGGAGCCGACGCAGCTCCTGGGCTGAAACGCGAGAGTAGTTGGCGAGGCGGGGCGCGCGGGCCCGCCGCCTCCCCACGAGCGGGTCGATTGCTTTGGGAACCGCAGCTTCGGTTCAGCGGCCGCATTTCGCTAGCTGGGGTCTCAGGGTGCTGACTGCCCCCCGGCTGCTTTCCGTCTGTGCGGAGGCTGCGAAACTCCCCTCCCCAGAATTCCTAGCTAGCAGCTGGGGATTCTGGGAGTTGTGTTCCGGAGTAATTGGCGTGCTGGTCTCTGGCTGTCGTAAAGCTATCTAATGTAACCGGACAGGCATCTGGGGTGCCGGGGAGGCTGGGCGGGGAGCAGTTAGCAAAAGCAGACGGAAGATGGGTGGCTTGGCTTCACTATTGTGCTAAGCAGTGGTGTATTTTGCTTGCTTTTGGCTTGGCGGCTTGGCTTAGTAGTTGTGGTTTATTCACTGAACTCTCTCTTATTGATTTATTTGATTTATATGCCCCCTCCCCAACTCGCACAGTGACTTCACGGGACCCGGCCCTGCGCCATGAAGGGCTTATTAATGATAGCCTGCTTGAATTACACTTGGAAGCCTTTAGGGAGCCAATGCAGCTCCCAGAGCAGTGGTGTTATGTGACTGTACCGTGGTGCGCCTATAATGAGTTGCACTGCCGCATTCTGGACCAGTTGCAGCTTCTGGGTGGATTTCGAGGGCATCCCCACAGAGAGTACCTTGCGGTAGTCCAAATGAGAGGTGACCAGGGTGTGAGGGACCATAAGCAGGTCCCCTCGGCCTAGGAACGGGCACAATTGGCACATAAGATAGACCGGTGCAATGGCCGTCCAGCCACGACTGCCATGCACTTTTCCAGCAGGAGCCCCAAGTCCAAGAAGATCCCTAAATTGCACGCCAGTTCTGACTCTGGGAGTTCAGCCCCATCCAGAACTAAAGTAGCAGAGTCCCCAGAACTAGGGAAACTCAAAACGTGCCGCTGTTTGGGTTAAGCCAAAGCCTGTTCCTCACCATCCAGACCCCCACAGCCTTCAGACACCGGGAGAGAATCTTAGTTGGCCTAGGGTGGAGATCTACAGCTGATTTTCAGGCAAACTGTGACTTAGTATAGATGTGAACCCAGTCTAAGGCTGTTTCTGAAAAGCCTTCATTTGATTGTCCTAGTTAATAGCCACAGATAAACTCTGTCTTGTGTAATCTTATTTAATCCTTGATATACACGAAGGAAATGCTTTCCTCCTTCATCTGGTCCACGATTTCAGCCTGGCTGCCACATTGAGCATGGTGCTCTCTCTCATTTGACCCCAGCATCTTTCCTTAGAGCCTCTGCTTGCTGGAGGAGACCAGCTTTCTTTCTGGGCAAGTTATCAAATTCTGCAGAAGACTGCAATGACTTCCTTCCTAGAGCAGACCAGTAACACAAATTACAGAAATGGGGAGTGAGGAGGAAGACCGCTTCCTCCGCTGGGTGTCTCAGATTAACTGGGCCTGTCAGCACAGTGGAGTAATCACAATTTATTTCCTTTTAAAAGGCAATAGGCCCTTTCTAAGGCATTATTTTCCATTCCTCACGAAGAAAATTGTCTTGTGGAATCAAGCCAACAAGGCAGCCTCTTTCTTGTGTGGAAGACTTCCCCACCACTAATATTCTGAGAATCTTTTTATTGGAAATTAAACTTGCAGGCTTTTTGTGTCAGGTAAGAGAGTGGATATTTTTATTTAGGATGTGGTTATATCTAAGCACAGTGCAGGGGTTTTCTTCCCTGCAACAGTCCTATGAGATAAACTACCATTCGATTTGTGCCTCTCCCTCCTATAATCTAGCCCGGCTACCTGCTGTCCTCCACATTTAGTATTTTTATTTATTATTCATTTGTATCTAAGGGACAGATGAGATTAACTGGATTTTGCCTTCCTTATCCTTGGCCAACATGGTTATGGTCTTCCCTAACCTGGTGAATTCTGGAAGGCACCTGGATGAGACAGGCAGACTGTTGTTCTGTAAAAGGTGTGTCTTGGGTAGGGGGTGTTTTGGAGAGAGGACTTGATCAAGGCAGAAGTGAAGTGTAATGGGAGGCAACAGGACGCCCAGGGATCACTTTTATGCAAAGTTGAAAGGGCATTTGGAGCCAGTTTGTAAGCATAGAGCAGTGACGGAGAGGGGGGTCATGTAACAGGGATGAAGAAGAGCTAAGTGGGTTTAAACAGGAAGGGGCTATCTGGGTTTTAGGGAAAGGCTTATCTAAATGAGGGTGGGTGAGTGGGATGCTTTCATTGCCTTTAGGTGGTTTCTGGATGAGGGGAGGAAATTATTCTTATGACTGTTATCCTTATTAGGTCAGACTCTCGCTGCAATGTTGTTTTTAGAGTTTGCCCGCTTATAACAATTGTTCCAACCAAAAGTTTAGAATGTGAAATTCCCACTCTTCCCTTGCATTTTTTTAAACCTGAAGATTGCTTGGATCGGACTTTGGACCCTTAGTTGTATGAACTTTCACGAGAACATGTGGAGCCTGTTCCTCATCCCTCTGCAAATATTAAGAGAAATAGACTGGGTTTGGCTTAGAAATGATCTCCAGGCTCTTTTGCCAACCAAGGGCATGTGCACTGCAGCTCTGGCTTGTTTCTGGCAGCTACCAAACATTGGCCTTCTTCCCCAAGCTGGTACAGCACCCCAAGATGCTGTTGGAACTGCCATCCCCCCAAATTCCTGACCGGGCTTAAAGCAGCATTCAGGGGTGTTTCTGAGTGAGCGCTGCTTGAGTTCAACTTTGGAGCTGGCTTATTGATAGCTGAATGTCTCCTGGTCTTTGTGGTGACCCTGACCCAGCTTTCCTTCATGCTTTGAAAGAGATTCTGGCGGAGAGAGGCACATGGAGTGATTGGCAATCCAAGCGAATGTCTCTAGCAGGTTGTCAGGGGAGGCAGAGCCCGAGGTAACGTTGAAAACTCAACCTGGTCACGTTCTCCTGTTCCCTCTCTCCTTTCAGCCCCTAGGACCAAAAGTTGGAATGGTGGCAGCGGTGCTGGAACGACAGCAATGAAAACTTCTTTTTTTCCTAGTTGCTTTGGGGCTTCTGCTGCTGTTGGAGCGTGTGGAGCTTAAAATTCTTTGCAGTGGTTGTTGATTGTGTGTTTCCACTCTCTGCCTTCAGATGAGCAACGCCGGCAACAAGCGCGCCCCTACCACGGCCACCCAGCGACTCAAACAGGACTACCTGCGCATCAAAAAAGATCCAGTGCCTTATATTTGTGCTGAGCCTTTGCCATCCAATATCCTTGAGTGGTAAGAATGGGGGGGCTGAGCTTGGAAGGCACCAGAGATTCAGCAGGACAAGAGTGGAAAGAATCAGTGGTCAGGCAATTCTCTGCAGGCTGAAGTCATGATCTGGCTCACTTTTCACACAGTCTCATCAGCT